CGTCAGGAAAGGAAACAGTGGCTGAAAGAAGAATGTGAGGAGGTACTTATGGGCTGTAAACCCCTTCCCCTTGCAGTGCTGACCTCACTGACTCTCCCTGGTTAGTTCATCTGATGCACTGAGCAATGTTACCACAGACACTAACACCGCTCAAGGAGAACACTCACTGCTCACAGCAACTGCACCAAACCCAGCACAGCCACCACCATCCTCAGCCTCAGCAGGAGTATTCACCCCCACAACACCTGCAGGTCTTTTCTCCCTAAAATCCCATTGTCCTTATTTCCTGGTGCAGAGATTGTGGCTAAGACAAATGCAGAAAAACAGCACTAAAATAGTCTCAGAGAAAGTCTCACAGCTACAAAGCAAGCACAGAACTGAAAGATGCATCTTGGAAAGAATTTATTGCCTAGGAAAGGTTAAGAAGAAGCTCAAGTTCACATTTCTGTGTGGGTTCAGGGGTGCTGCCACATGTCAGAGGTAGAGTGTGTCAAACTAATACAGAGCTGGAAAAGAATTGTTGGCTTAGTTCAGTAACACAGGAAAATGTTCCCAGAACCAAAGCACTGACCTGACCAGTTTTCCTCACAGGAACATTCCTAAACACCTCTTTCAGCCAAGAGGATTTGCTCACTTGTGTGAAAACAAGAACCACCACCCCAAGGTTCTGCCCTGGCTGTGTCTGTCATCTTCTGACCAACACAGCTGCTCTCCAAGGACAGATAAATACTCTTTACTCAGACTAAACCCTATTCTACTGCAAAAAACACGTTTTGCAATTCTGCCTATCCTTTTTTTGCTCAAAACCTTTAGGATTTCAGAGTTGGCCAATGTGCTACAACTTATTTGAGCAGAGGAATCACCCACCACAACCAGCTCACTCTCTCTAGGAACCAGCTGGAATTTTCTCACTCCCTGCCCCGTGACTGTGTCCTGGCACAACTCAGCAGCTCACTCACCCTCAGGAGCATTTGGGGCAGAACAGGCAGTGCAGGGCAGACAGCCCTGGGAGCTGGAGGTAGGTACAACGAGCTTTGGGTTGGAACAAGCTATGAATTCTTCCTGTTTCAGATTCTGTGCCATTCCCTAATGCACATTATTGTCCTTCCTTACACTGTCAGATCCTGAGGGCAGCAGTTGGCTGAGACAGGAGTGCTGAGGGGAAGGCTGGAGCTGTGCAGGAGTTTGTTGTTGATGCTAGGAGTACAGCAGTGCAAGAGATCCCAGACGGGAGAGAGGATTGATTTCAAGCAGTAATTTCCATCTCCAGTCAGAATATCCATGGGACTGTTGGTTTGTTCCATCATTTCACCTGCAGGATCACAACAGCACATACAGCTCTCTGGGAATGGACTCAGTGAGCTGATCCCAGTTTCAGATGAAGGCAGAACAAGCACATTCCTTTCCTCACTCAGACAGCTGCAAAGCCCACAAATTCCCTCTCATCTCAGAGTTTGTATTGCCTCAGTGATACAGAACTACTTGGAAAGATGAAAGTGCAGTGCTGCTCGAGGACTGAGCACTCCAGAGAACTGACACTTGTGCATCTGCTCAGGAGCTTTAAAACCTGCCCCAAATTCACCTATAGAATATTTACTATTACTCCTGTCAGACCTGCAGGTGTGGCAAAAGCATCACCTGCAGGGAAAGGGAAGGAGGCAGAGATCCAGCAAACAGCTCTGAGCTCTGAAGAGGTTGTTGGCATCACTCACTGCTCCCCCAGCACAGCCTGTCCTGGCTCTGGTAAATGTCTGCTCTGAGCTACCTCTTCCCACCTGGGCTCCTTCAGCAATCATCACTGGTGTTCCCATGGAGGCACCAGGAGTAAACACCACCAGGGAAGTCACTGTGCATGGACAAAACAAACGAGACTTTGCAGGAGGATGGTAAAACATCAGCCACAGCCACAGCAAGGGGATCAAACCAGCGACGTGGCCCTGCTGCTGTAGTGGTTACTTCATCAGAGCCAAATCACTGCAAAGGGGATGATTTCTGTCAGCCCAAAAAGCATAGTATGAGCTTTGTTTGTCATGGAATGTCTATAAAATGATGCACCAGCACTGAACATGGGGGTTTGGTATCATCCTATGGACACACTCAATTCCCTCACCCTGTTCTGAGACACAGCTGAACGAGTTACAGGGACTGGGAACCAATGTGCTACCTGTGACACAGCCCAACACACTGTGCTGCCCCTCAGGGACACAAACATCCTCAGACCCCCTGAATGACAAACACTGATGTGCCACACCTGGGTGTGCAGTTTTCTCACTCAGAACACTGCAGTGTGTGACACAGAACTCACGAGCTGCTCTGCAGCACCTGCACTGCTCAGCTGCTGCTGCAAGGATTTAAACCACCACTAATGGCAACATGCCATGAAAATTCGGGTTGGAAACACACACTGATGTTGCAAAACCTGCAGAGCAGCTGGACAGAGTTCTCCTCTGCACGACTTGGTTATCAGGGCTATCACTGATACTCCTTTTTCCCGAATATCCTGTGATGTTGCCAAGTGTTTCAGGCTGTGAGAGCACAATTGCCTCACTGTGCTTTGTGTCTCCTGCAGGAGAAAGGACCAAAGAACATTCCCCCAGGGATGGGGTGGGTGGGTGTTGACTGCAGCTCCTTTCAGCTGCACATCCATGAGGATTCCAGATTCCGGGAGAGACAGAATTGCTTGTATCTGGTAGCAGCTCATTCAGAATTCATTCCTTTGATTTGTTAGGATATGAAATAGAAGCAAGACAGAAAAATGTGAATCATCGATGAAAAAGGTGGATGACTTCATTGTCCATGAAACACAACTCCCATTAGGAGTATCCTGCCTTTTGTAATGGGAATGTAAATGGAAGCAGCAGGAAAACAGTGTCCAAATAGTGGCAAATCACAGGACTGGTATTTTTATTCCAGCAAAGCTCCCAGAAAACAAGAGGTTTCATTGTCAGGGGCACCAATTTCCTGTCTAGGGAGAACAGCAATAGAGCATTGTCAGCCCAGGATAGAAACCCCTTTATAAATGAGTTTTCAGAGCAAGCAGAGTCTCAGCTGAGCTCTAGCTTCCATTTGAGGGACAACACTGTAAATTTTGCTCACAAACCTTCCTTATGGACTGGGTCACTCCCAGAGACATGACAAATCCTGCTGCTCCTCTCAGTAAGGCTACTAGGAGGTGTCTGCCAGGCAGGATGGGACACTCCAGGCAGGGAGAGGATGAGCAACTACCCCTCACATAGAGACCCACAGCTTGGAATTCTGGGGTTCCTCTGCAGAATAGATGGTAAGAGATCTGTTGGGAACTAACTGTACAGTGGTCACAACCATGAAAGTTGCTTTTCAAACACCTTTTAAACCTGCTCCTACCCTTTCTGCAGCTGCTGTTTAACAGTATTGCTAAAAGCTCCTCATGCCCAAGGACAAGAGAGACAGAAAACCCCAGAAGAACAGAGCTCACTACTGGTACCAAACAAAAAGAGCTGTAGAAGTGATTAGGGAGGAGATCAGCCTGAGAAAACCCTGAAGGGGAATTAATCCCAGTATTAAAGAAAAGAAGGTGTTATTTGCCCAACACTGAGGATTTTCTGAGCTGCACCTTGGACCTCCCACTGACAGGAAGGAGATTACTGTGCTGCATCAATGAGGATTCCCCAGAGCCAACTGCTGTTTGGCATAAATCAGAAAAGTGTTTTACCAGACTGAAGGTATCTGTGTGAAAAATGCTTGCTGGGGAATATTCACACCGGAATGAAGAGCAACAGGAACATGGGCAGCACCTGCAGAATCCCAGAACCATCCTGGAGGAAAAGACCTCCACCATCATCGAGTCCAAGCTGTGACTGATGACCACACTGCCAGCTAGGCCAGAGCACTAAGTGCCACCTCTAGCCCTTTCCTGAACATAAACACACCCTCCCAAATCCATCTGAACTTGTCTGCACCCCCATTCCAGCAGAGGAGTGAAGGGATTTGCTGCCAAGGGCTCTGGGAAAGAAGGAATCCACTCCAGCCCCTGTCTGCTGCTCACAGTTTAAGTGGCACTTGCCGAAGAATTCCTCAGAGCTCTTTCAGAACCAGGTCAGGGGTAGAAGATCTGCAAATCTCAGCAGCAAAGGCTGGAAAACCCTTCAGGATGCAATGACAGCTGTGGAATTCTGAGTGTCTTGGGAAAGTGGAGCAAAGTTAGTGGAAAAATATATAAGCAATACTGAAAATAATATGCAGAACTTCAGTATTCAGGTTTTGTCAAATAAAAACTACAATCATAAACCCCTAAAGAGTGTAAACATCCAATCCCATCACTACTGTGACACCAGGAAATCGTGTCCTGCAGCTATCAGGGTTCCCATTTCCTTCTCATTTGTTCCAACACTTCTAATTGCTTCTTCACATTAATAATTTATTGACCATAATTCAATTTTTTTCTGTTAGCCTTCCAAGCTTTTTTTCAGCTATTTTGGTCAGAAAATGGAAGATTCAACACTCTCAAGTCAGAGCATGAAAACCACTTCAGCTTAATTTCAGGTTTTCCACAGGGTTCAAGCCCATTATTCTATTTGGATCCCGAATCCATCTACCTGAGTAAAAATGGGGAAAATATGCCAAACTGGCCTGGGGAGCACTCAACACTGAAGAATTAGCTGCTTGGTGACAGCACATTAGCAGAATTAGCTGCTTGGTGACAGCACATTTGTTTTGCACTCCTGGATCCCTGCACAGGACTTTGCTACAGAGTTACTGTGGAGAGTCAGAAGTTATCCTAACCAAGGCCAAACTGCTACAAGTGACTCCTTCCCTCACCCAGTTCTTCCATTGACCAAAAAGCAACATTCCAAATTCCTTGACAGTGCAAAGTGTAGCTGTGAGGTGCCACAGCCATCCTTCAGGACAGGCTATTGCACCTCGGCCTTGCTCTGTGGGGCTGAGGAACACTGGAGAGCAAATTGCCATGCTGAGACCTGCACCTCCCATGGGGCTCCTGCTGGGTCAGCTACAAACAGAAATCACAAACTGTCTGAGGCATTTTTCTCTGACAAAGAGGACAAGCTGAATGAGGTATCATCAGGCTCTGGGGATGTGTGGTTGAAATCCATTTCTTCTAGTTCAGGAGGTAAATCTGAAAGCAGTGCCTGGAATGAAAAACATGTGACAACAGAGTATTAGCTGTATTTTTTTCTGTCAGCATTTAAATTTCTTTTAAATATGCAGTGAAAAAACTTCAGTGAGTTCATCTTGATTTGGATGTCACAGTTTGAGGCTCTGGAATAAACCCAAGGGAGAGCCAGAAAACAAAATGAGAAACACCTTCTGATGTTCCTTCTTCAGGACTCCCCAGGGCAGTGGGCACAGCCCCAAGCCTGGCAGGGCTCAAGGAGTGTTTGGGCAATGCACCCATGGATTGTTGGGGTGTCCTGTGCAGAGCCTGGAGATGGACTGGATGACCCTTGTGGGTCTCTTCCAACCCTGGATATTCTGTGACTCTGGGACTCACCTGCTGCTGTTCTTTATCATCTGCTTTGACAGCAAGGATCAAACTCCGAGTAAAGGCCTGGAGCTCAAAGTACTTCTGTTTGTGACTCTCCAGCTGAGACTCAATGAATCTGACTTCTTCACTCTGTGGGGGAATTACAGACAGTTCTGGAACTGATCAGGCAATAATGGAATCCTTTAGGCTGGAAAAGAACTGCCAAGGCCACCACTAACCATGTGCTCAACTGCCCTGGCAGCACTGGACCAAGCACTGGAACAAACCTTGGCTGGGAACTGGCTGAGTGGCAGATCCCAGAGAGCTGTGATCAGTGGCACAGAGAGGCTGTCGTCAGTGGTGTCCCCCAGGGTCCATACTGGGCCCAGTTTGGTTCAGCTTATTCATCAGTGACTTGGCTGAGGGGACAGAGTTGCCTCCTCAGCAAGTTCCTGATGATACAACACTGGGGGGAGTGGTGAGAGCTCAGAGGGCTGTGCTGCCCTTCAGAGGGACCTCGACAGGTTGCAGAGATGTGCAGAGCAGAACCAACAGAGATTCAACCAGGGCAAGGGCAGGTCCTGCCCCTGAGGAGGGATAACCCCAAGCACCAGCACAGGTTGGCACTGACCTGCTGGAGAGCAGCTCTGTGGTGGACAACAGCCATGGGTCACAGTGTGTCCTTGGGGATAAGAAGGGCAATGGAATCCTGGGATGCTTTGGGAAGAGCATTGCCAGCAGGTCAGGGAGGGGATCCTGTCCCTCTGCTCAGCCCTGGGGAGGTCACACCTGGAGTGTTGTGTCCAGTTCTGACTCCTCAGGGCCAGAGGGACATGGAGCTCCTGCAGCAGGTCCAGAGTCCTACAAACTTACCAGCTGATTAGTGTGCAAGATCAAAATGCTAAATCAGTGTAGAGCTGAAATTCTCTCTGGTTATTTACCTTTGCAAAGAGCATGAAAATCAAACTGTTTACTTAGGTTCCAAGATCAAAGTCATTGCTCATTTTTGCAGAAGGACTTTGCCTAATGGCACCAAATGTGCATCTTCCATGAGAGAATAAAGGAAACATGAAGATATTCATGGTTCCACTGGTTCTGATTCAGCCTTGGCTAGTATGAAATGGTGAGTCCTTGTGATGTACTCAAGGTTTGTAACAAGCCTCTAAAAATGGTTGTTGCTTTTGGGGTATTTTTGCCAGAAAATTCCTATGTCTTCAGTGAAAACATCTCACCACGGTGTTCCAGGTGCTAACAGCTCTGGGAATGAGAGAGGAATATTTGGGCTGTGATTTTGAGGCTTTCATTAAAAAATAAGCTGAATTTCTTTCAGATGGAAACTTAGCAGTTGCCTGTTTAGCACTGGGGTTTGCCCAGCCGAGGAAGAATTCAGACTGAGGCAGAGAAGTCAGGGACTAATGAGTGATGTCAAACAGCAAACCCAGTGCTGCAGGGCACACTGTCACAACAAGCCTTTCACTGTGGTGACAGGTGACATTAAGAAAAGGTCATTCCCTCTCCACATTCGTTCTGCACTGCCCTTCCCAGGAAAACACTGCTTCAAGGAGCAATTTTTCTTCTGAAGGGATGATCTGTTTATGGTTTTGGCAATTCATTATCATTAGGAGAACAGACCTGATCTCTAAGGTAAAAAATCAGCTCTGGAGGGAAAGAAAGAGATGCTAACATGGAATTGTGGCCACTCAAAACAGTTAACTGGCACAACCTTTCCCCTTTGGCACAAAGCAGCAGCTGTCAGTGTCCAACTGCTTGTCCTCCCTCCCACAGCCACTGCTCCCAGGCATGGCCTGGGGAACGACTTCTCCTCAGATCCCCCCAGTTTGTGAGAGGATTCCAGCTGGTATGTGCCTCCCAGAGCTGGCAGCACCACACTGCTGGCCACTCAAAACAGTTAACTGGCACAACCTTTCCCCTTTGGCACAAAGCAGCAGCTGTCAGTGTCCAACTGCTTGTCCTCCCTCCCACAGCCACTGCTCCCAGGCATGGCCTGGGGAACGACTTCTCCTCAGATCCCCCCAGTTTGTGAGAGGATTCCAGCTGGTATGTGCCTCCCAGAGCTGGCAGCACCACACTGCAGTGAGTGTGCCACAGCACTCCAAACAAGTTTCCCTCAAGAAGGAAGTTGTGGCTCCACAAATCCCTTTGTTGGGCCACATGGGGGAAGCTGCACATGGCTGGAGCTACAGCAGAGCGACTGCTCTGGAGAAATGGGAGTTTCCTGCCTCCCTCTGGGTTGAAACATGGCTAACCTGGCTGAGCAGAGGTGACTGTGGGTGTGATGTGAGCACTGGGTAACAGCAGAGCTGCAGGCTCCTGCCAGACTTCCATCTGAATTCCCTGTGAACTCTCCTGCTGGCCCTGATCCTCACCTTGTAATCCAAGAGAGAGCTCATCTGATCCACTTCAGAATTGCTGATCATGTCACTTTCTTCATCATCTATAATTTCTATTTTCTGAAACAGAAGCAAACAGTTCATTCCCCAACAGTCACAGTCACAGATGAGCCAAACAGTGATCCACATCCCAAACTGGCAGCAAGGGAAGAAGGTAACAGGGAACAGCAATCCACAGCTCAAAGTGGCAGGGAAGGATGAAGAGAGCAGCACTTTCTGCTGGCTCCCGAGGAATTCTGAGCCCTGCAGCTCCCATTAGATGGCAATCATGCACCTCAGCCTCGAGATCCAGGGGAATCCAAGGGGAGCTGCTGCCATGGAGACTTGGGCTGTTTACAGAGGAGGAGCTCTGTGTCACAAGCTTTGGCACCACCCTGAACATTCCATCCCCTGACAGCCTTTTGTTGTAGACCTGCATGGCAAAGGAGGCTCTGGAATTTTATCACTTTGGAGCAAACCAGCAAGTCCTGTCCAGCCCTCCTGCTTAAAAAAAACAGTTCCATATTATCATAGCATGTTCAGGGGCTGGAATGGAGCTTAGAGATCACCCAGCCCCAACCCCTGCCCTGGGCAGGGACACCTCCCACCAGAGCAGGTTGCTCAAGGCTCAGCCAACCTGGCTGTGAACACTGCCAGGGCTGGGGCAGCCACAGCCTCCCTGGGCACCCTGGGCCAGTGTCTCACCACCATCACAGGCAAAACTTCTGCCTGACATCTAACCTCAATTTCCCTCCTTCAATTTGTGCCCATTGCCCCTTGTCCTGTCCCTGCAGCTCCTAACACAGATCCCTCTGCAGCTTCCCTGGAGCCCCTTCAGCTCCTGCAAGGTGCTCTGAGGTCTCCACACAACCTTCTCTTCTCCTTTGGCCTTCTCTGGCCACAGTGCAAGTGAAATGCTCTAAACAGCAGAATATGCTGATCCAAGGGCAGCTCCAAATGCATAAACATGGACATTTTCACCTCACTCACAAACATCTGGCAGTTCTTATACTGGGTTTCTAAAGACACCTAAGCACAGTGTTAAGGCCAAGCTCAATGCTGGTTAGAACTCAGAATACATCCCAATCCTATCCCAAGTTTTTAAAGTTCACTTTTACATTATTTACCACTTGCATGTTCTGGGTCTTTTTTTAACAGAAAACCTTCTTATGTAAGAAAATTAAGTTAAAAGATTATTTCAGTAGGAGAAAACACAAAATATACAGAGTTTAGTGCCCCTGGGAGATGTTAATTTTTATTCCTATCTGAGCTAGATATCAAACAGATCAAGTGAATCTGAATTAGTGACAGGAATGGCTTTTCCCAGCAGAACTCTGAAGGATGAGTGCCCAGAATTCACTATATTTTTGAGAAGTAAGAAGAGGAGGTTGTTTTTTTAGTATTATTTATTTAGTGTTTCCCATTTCTTTACTATTTGGAATGTTTTGACAGTCACAAGCATTGATGAGACTGTCTGTAATAAGTTAAAGCAATTTGCCTCTGCTTTTGGTGCAATGTTCAATCCCAAAGGCTCTCACTGACACGCTGCACACTGATGGTTAGTCCCTGGGGTGTGATTTCAGAGCTTTCCCTGCAGCAGTTTCCTGCCTGTTGCAGACCAGTCCCCAGGAATTCCTTGCTAATCCCCTAAGGAGAAACCCTCCCAGAGAGGTTACCAGGCCCCACCAAGCTCCCCAGTCTGTGTTGGAGGCAGAGAGGATAAAGCACATTTTCTGTGCTTCTGTGTCTGTCAGCCAAGCTGAAGTGCTAACATTTCAGAGGCTTCATGTCACTGAGATCTGCTGCTCTGTCGTAGCCTCAGCAACACTGTGAGTCAAATATTTTTGTTTTCAGACTCAGCTTGAGGGAAGAGTCTCTAAATAACTGCCAAACATTCACACTATCTTCCTTAGATTTACAGTGTAAGATAGGAGGGGAAAGAACAGATTAGAATTTCAAATAGGAAAACTGTCTCTCTTATGCAAATCCAGTGTTAATCCAATTTTAACTGCATTTTTAACAAGTTTTGTTAGTGTTCTCAGAGCAAAGCATGAAAAAAAACTACTCTTTTTGATTCCTGTTGCTATATCCAACGGCACAGTGATGGAGTTCAGGTAGACTGGAGAGATGAGTCTCCTGGACATCATCTCTGCAAACCTGCCCCTCAGAGGGACAACAGCTGAGTCACAGCAGGACACTCAGGGAAACAGAGAGGGAAAAGGCAGCTGGTCCTTGGAAAACTGCCCTGGGATTGCAGAGTCTGCAAAGGGTGACCAGAGATTAACAACGAAGTTACTCGTTCTCTCCACTCCAGAGGGGGAAGAGACTCTCCTGTTTGCTGTCTCACCTCAGACCTCTGTGATCAGTGTAACACAGGTCCAATAATTTTCTATTATTATTCTGGGGGGGTTTATTCTTATGCTTTTACTGCACTTGGTACTTCCAGAGCACTACCCAAGTGTTGGGCTTGGCACTCCAGCAGAACTCCAATGTTAGAATACAGAAAATAGGGTGTAATTGATGCCAGTTTGAGGCTGCAGGAACCCAGTTTGGAGGGCTCAGCTCCACTTTGGGGGGATCAAATCCCAGTTTGGAGGGAGAAGATACCAGTAATTCAATATCTGCTGAATGTTCTAGGGGTTTTCTACTATGTTTTAGCATTTTTAGGACAGTTTTAGTGCTCAACCCAACAGGACACTCTTAGCACACTCAAGTTTTCACCCAATGAGAAACACTTGTGTTGGACAACTTGAGTGCTGGCAGTTGAGGAGGCAAAGGAAAGGTACACATACCACATTATCTGTGGGAACTGGGTTCTGGTCATCATCTTTGGGACCAATTTCTTCATTTTGAAGAGTTTCATTTGTCTCTTCTGCAGGAAAAAAAAAAAAGTTTTGTCAGATTTCAGTCCAATTCTATCCTGAAGGAACATTAATAGTCTCTCCCACTAAATATGTCACAGCTGCTAGATCCACAAGCAAAGTCATAGCATCAATGTATATCCATAAAAAACATTGGATGCCTTATTAAACAGACAAATATTTCAGGCCAGCATCATGCCAACTGCCAGCTGATAAAAGAGCAGCTATCAGCTGTTCTCTTGCAATGCACCAAAACTTCCTGGGTTTAGGTTCAGGTTGGAACACCCAAAGGTGATGAAGAGTTTCACACCAGAAATGGTTTTGGTTTATTAAATCATAATAAAGGACTACATGAAAAATCCTGCATTCCCTGAAATTAGAGGGGACACAGCAGAATCCCAGCTGAAATCCTAAGGGACACATCCAAACCCACCTCCTCCCTGCAGGCACGGGTTAGCTTTGAACCAAAACCTGATCAAGCAGATTATTTCCTTCCTGTGTGGCAAATGTTTATCCTCAGTGAACCTGAGCTGCTGTTTTATGTATGAGCACTTGAAAACTGAGATTTTTGCCTTAAATTTCAACCACAAGCACTGGGTGAATCTATTAGCCTTAAGGCAATGAGAAAACAGAACCTGAAGGAAGGTAAGTCTGTTCACCCCGAAAATTAAGTGTTTCTCATATGTACTTGAGTTCTCCATATATATATGTATAAAATAAAAAGAAGAAAATAAGGAATGGGCAGCAAGGCTAAGGTGGGACACTGGGAGAGGTGGCACCTCCACACAAACACAGGATTTCCCTGGAGCTTACCAACACATCCAAGACAGGGTAACACTTAGATTGGACCACACAGAGACAGTTAATTATTTCAACTAACTTTTCTACCAGCTAAATAACTCTAAACTGAGCAACTTTTGTTGGAAGTAGTTTCAAGTCACACAGCTGGTCACAGCTTCAGAGGACAATGTGTGCCAGCAGCAACAGCACATGGGATCAGATGGGAGAACTGCAAAGCAGGGAGCAATACCCAACCCTGTGTTACACCCAGAGCAGTGCAGGTCACTGAGGATGAACCCCCGGGACTCTGCAGCAGTCACTCCCTCACCCTGACACCACCT